GTATTCGTAGACTTAAAAATGGTGGAGAAGATCTTGAATGGATTTTATTTAAGGCATATATAAAGAAATGCAAAAGTATGTACGTATATATTTAAGTGTGTGTGTATATATATATGTGTGTGTGTGTGTCTTTAAATCTTTTTAACTGAGGTTAAAAGTAAGAAGTTAAAGACTAAGTGCCAGTAAAAGACTGAACTTAAAAATATTGTATCACCGTGCTCTTCCAGCATTAATGTTCAACTCTATATAATCACAAATTTACAGAGTTGATCTATTAGTGTTGTAGCACATGAGTGCTTTAATGTTTTTAAGTACAGAATCAGTGATGTAGAAGTACCTGGCTTAGTTCTCAGAGAAAGAGACCATTTAACACTATGTTTTACCTCATTTGTTTAATGATTATTCAGACAGATATGGTAAAATACATATAAGCTGCAGAGAGTACATTGGATGATATGGTATTTCTGTGCTCTGTTAAACTAGAAGATATGTTTTTACTCGAATCAGAATGTTATTAAAACCTGAATACTAAACAGGGCAGGACAAAGCCTTCGGCACAGAAAAATAAACAAGTAAAAAATCCAAATGAAACTGTCTAATAAATACAATGTGGAGCAACAGGCTGCATATACTAGAGGAATTAAGCCAATTTAAACTGTATGGGCAGCACTCCCCTTTCCATGCGTTCGGCTTCCAACAACTTTGATGGCAGTTGCATGCCTGCATTGAAGGGTGAAGTTTGGCTCCTAGCTAGCACTCACATGGATTTGTTAGTGTAGGTTTTTGACTTGTAATCCTAGATCATACGAAAGAGTAAGAACTCTGTCCGGCTTAAAATAGTTGCTATGGTTGATGCTGATAAAAGCCTGTGGACTCCCCAGCTCTGGGGCCAAATTTGGTGCTGGCATGATACGAGGAAGTCTGTTGACAGCTGATATCAGTGGAGTTGCACTTGATTACATCATAACAAATTTGGCAAGTGGAGATTAATCAGAAGTCTGAGGAGGAAAGTATCCGTTCATTAGCCAGAGTTAAAATCGGGATTTCCATATTGCCAGTGCCCAGAGTCTATGCTGTGTGCAACTCCCATAATGCTTTCAAGCATCTTGCATTAAAAGCACATTCAACCCTCAATTCCATTGAGCCCAGTGACTGTAAAAACCTTTAGGGCTGGGTTTTTCTCTCAGGTCCACAAATACAAAGCCTCTAATTAAACCAGATTAAGGGCAAATGGGAACTGGCCTTATGGTAGTCCATATACTGGCTGCATCTTGGCTGCAGCAGCAGAGAAGGGGAGAGAAGGAAAATGCCCTTCTCTGCTGCCGGGGCCATGCCGCAGCTGGGGAGCCCATGGTGAGGAGCAGGCATCCTTGGGGGCATGCTCCTTCAGCTGCCCTTCCCCTGGTCTCGTGGGGCAACTCTTACTCCTAGACATACCTGCTATCGGCACGTGCCCTCTTCTCTTCCTGAGTTTTTATACTGTAAGACACTTGCTGATGTTGTAAGTCTTTCTTCAAAGTCCTTCGAGAAATGAGATGGTGTTCTTTTAATGTCAGCTGCTGCAAAAGGTCTCCCAAAACCTGTGTACGTTGTTTTTAGTAAAATGCAATATTTGTTTGAGTTTTATGAAAATTAATTAAAATGAATGAAAAGCAGTTGAAAAATGGATTCCTCTGCTGAAACTGTGGTATGCAAACTCATAGCGTCAATCACATTTTTGTGGTTCCTCTATAAACACTTAAGTGTAGTGGTTTGTCATGGAAGTTTTTTGATGGAAATTCTTAGAAATCTGGCTATATTACATAATATATTTTATTTCTCATTGCATACAACTTGATATAATGCATATTTTCCTACCTGGTGCTTTTAATAGTGTTACTAGTCTGTGGCAAAATCTTTCCTTTTCCTATTTTGGGAGAGAAATGCAAAAGCTGCTCTCGGGCTCAGGGTTTCCCCATCATGCTGGGCACAGGAGGACAGAAGGAGTCTGTGGCAGGACTAGCATCAACCTGGAGCGTTCTGCACACTGCAGAATGCTGCATTGAGGAGGGAGAGCAGGGAGCATCTCTGTCCTCTCCGTCTGGCAGATGGGGTCCACCTGGATTCCTCGGTCATTGGGAGCTGTGCTCTGGATTGGGCAGGCTCTGCAGGTGGCTAGGGCAGGTGACCGGCGCAACAAGACCACTGCCTGCCTATGTCAAAGCAGGGATTAGCCTGTACTGCACAGATACAGTACATGCCAGAACAGATTGATTATATTGAGTTCATGTATTTTAATACAATTTTATTTGTATTTAATGTTCCTGTTTCACACACAAAAATATTGATCATTTACTTGATAATGTGATTAAAAAGCTGAGATTGGAGAGAATGTATGTGGTTCTTTGATCACATATTCTTTGTTTGTTTTCCCTTTTCACAGGAATGTGATAAATATGGCGATGGTGCTGTTTTTAAAAGTGTTATGTAGTTGTCACGTGCATTAGAAGGCAAAAATAGGGGATTTCAGTGGGCACCTACCTTGTAAAGAAGGCCTTATGAAGAACTCATCTTTCTAAAGTCCGCTCAGTCTCCTTGGAGAAGTCTCAGCAAGCTCTGCTGTTGGGTCTCCTCCTGGAAACAGGAGCCAAAAGCTTTCCCTAACTGTCCTTCACTTAGGAAAATGAGCTGATTGTTTCCTCCAGTGGGTCCTGCCCAAGCAGAGCATCCAGACCTTTGGGATAGCAGACCACAGTGGAGCCATGTAGCTTGAACAGATTTTATTTACTATGCCCCTCCTGGGACTGATGTTGAAAAAGTTTTTTTGCCTAGGAACCTTTGTGCAGAAATCTTCATAAACTACAACATTTCAGAACAGAAGAACCTCCATGAGGAAGTTTTCTATCCACTAATATTTTTTTAATGTCCATAACAATTTTGAACCTCCCTTAAAAAAACTAAATAAAAATCAAAGACGATAATAAAACCAACAATGATTTTCTCCAGGGAGTGCTAGCTGTTCAAAAATTTGCTATTAAGTGTAAACAGTTCCTGAGATTGTGCATACTAGACCAAATTCATTCTTGCTATAACTCCTCAGAACTTGGAGGAGTAACATGAGGGATTAATTTGGTCCATTGCTTTTAGCCTTCAGTTCTAGAGGATATACAACAATCCAGGGAACTATTATTGTCAACATTATTTTATTGCTCTTTAGAGCTGCTCAGTAATTGTATTTTACAGATACATAAGCAGGATGAGTGTATGGAATGAGGTTAGTATGGAAGGTAGTGGACTTTTCAAAGTTGTTCTACGCAATTAAAAACAGTAAGCATTCTAACAGCCATGAAATATTGCTAAGAATCTTGCATAGATGCATGAGAACTGCTACACAGACTCTTAAAATGTGCATAGGCCATTTATCTGGCAGAGCATTTCACAAAGCGTAGGAAATATCTGGGAAGTTTTAAGTACTGTTACTTAAACAGTTAGTAGTTACACTAACTAACTAATGATCACAGTGTACTGTGTGAAATTGAGCTGTTTTTATTGCACACAAGAAGTTAAGGGAGAAAGAGCTAAATTACAAGGCAGTCATAGGGTTGGGAGCAAAACACAGAATTTCTGCTGTCACTTTCTACTCTTTTTTTTTTTCCCAAAAAAATAAATAGAGGAAGGCCTGTCATTTTCAGGTAATGAATCTGAAATGCATGTCCTGTAAAGCATGTATTTCAGTTCATTAAGATACTTAAGTTTAAATAATAGGTGTGCTAAGGACCTGTTCTTTTGAAAGTCTGTAGGCTTTAATGGGAGTGGCCCAGACAAATTGTTTGTCATTCAGAAGATAGTGAACCTTTTCTCTGGTTCTGTGTATCAGATTTATACTGACTGCTTGGTTACAAAGCAGCTACAAATCTGCCTAGTCACTGAAGCCGGTGCCCTCCCTGTGCAGCGCAGTGTGCAGTAGTGTCCGTAATCGTAGGGCTTGGGTATTGGCTTGTGTTGTTTCTCTTCTGTTAGAGAGAGCTGTTTGGGCAGTGCAGGCATCGTTCCGTCTTTGCAACCTGTTAAAACTGGGGTCACCTTGTGGCATGAATGAAGCTGCTCCAAACCATAACAGTCAGAGAACCTGTGCACTGCAGAACTAGTGGCAGGATTAATTTACACCAATTCTCTGGATTTCTCTGTTCTTACTGCTTGCAGAGCCTGTGTCACAAGGATATTGCTTCTTGCAGCATTAGGGGAATTTGGGTCATATTTCGTGACAACTATGAACATGGTCAAATGGTGGGATTTTTGATTACTTCCCCACTTCCATTTCCAAGTTCTTTCATGGCTGGTGTCTGGAATGCATGCTGAGGCAGGACTTCTGAGGGTTTGTTACCTTCCCCATGTCCTACCGCCATGGTTTCTGCCCAAGAAAACTCAAGGTTTCCCACTGGAAACTATCTGCCGTCTGCTCTGACTGGTCTCTGACCTGAATAAAGGAGGGAGCAGCCTCCCAGAGCAGCATGTGGTATGGCTACACCTTCAGTCCTAAATTGTCACTCCGACTGGTCCCTTGCAGATGTACAGCTAGACCCAGGTCATCTTAAGCAGTGGAGCTTGAGGCATCTTAAGAGCATTGGTGACATAGCTGAGAGGAGTAATTTTTTCTTTCATCTAAAATGATTTGTTTTTTAAACGTTGAGATCATTAAAATGTGAGTATTTTAAAATTTGAGGAATAATGGAGGTTATGACTTAAAAGAAAAAAAATTGAAAGACTTGAAAGAAATTATATTGATTTCTGTACCATTTCCCATGCAGAAGCTACTTGTACAGGTAAAGATTTGTTTGACTGCATCTCCCATATTAGATAGCTATATTTCATTGCTGTAATTATACTGTGGCTTATCTAATAGTGATGTTCCTATAGAGAAATTAATACAATTAATGCTATTTTTAGCAAGAGTGAAATAGTAAATAAAATTGAATTGAAATTTGACAAGCTCTTTTTTTTTTCTTTTTTTTTTCTCCTAGTGTCTGAATTACAGGAAGAAGGAATAAATGCCATTAACTTACCTCTCAGTCCAATTCCATTCGAACTAGACCCTGAGGACACTATGCTAGGTAATTCATAACAATTTTACATCTCTACATAAAGGCTTGATGTAAAATAAAGTTTTATGCCTGTAATAGTTTCTAATATCTATCTTTTAAACCTTCCAGAGGAAAATGAAGTCCGAACAATGGTTGATCCAAATTCCAGAAATGACCCAAAATTGCAAGAACTAATGAAGGTAATGAAAAACACGTAAAAACTTTCAAGAAAGTGAAACTTTTTTAATGGAGTCCTTGCCTATTTCACTGAGCACTTCAAAGCACTTAGATAGTAATTAAATAAAACCATATGGTGCACAAATCTCAGTGAGAAGGGTACATCATTTTTTTTGCCGTATCTTTAGGTAAATCACATAGAGACTAATGATTTGGATTGAAATACCGGGTCCTGATTCTTACTCCCAACCTGTCCCCAATCTAAATTTACACCAACTTACCTCTTCTTGATTCTTGGATTTGAGACTTCTGTGAGAATCTTCATTAAAAATTACTTCAACGCATTTGGCCTCCCAATAAAATATTAATACACTACTGAACTAAAAGTACAAATTTCACTTAAGAAAGTACTGCATCAATATTGTATTGGTCTAGACTTATGTTGCATTCACTCAGCTACCTTAGGAAAGTCGAAGTGGTGTCTCAGTGCATCAGACAAAACTGTTGGAAATAAACAACATGTATTTCTTATCTCCTTATAAACCTAAATCCTTACTAATTTCATCTGATGGCATTTCAGACTGCTTATGTTTTGAATCATCGCAGCTTTGGTATTCTTTTTGTTAAGTATGTTCATCATTGTACAAAATGACATGTGTTTTAAATTGCAAATGAATAGTGTATAATCCTGCCAAATTTGTTTCCCATATAGGTATTAATTGACTGGATTAATGATGTGTTGGTAGGAGAGAGGATTATTGTGAAAGACTTGGCTGAAGACTTGTATGACGGACAAGTATTGCAGAAATTATTTGGTAAGAAAAATATATATGCATGCTTTTGGGATACTTTGTCAGTAAGTGGATCACTTGTTCCTACTCAGTGGTATAAATGTAAGATGATACCAAGACTCCTAAGTGATGTAAAAATAGCAGCGTATTATGAGACTCTTGAGCAACAAGCTGCATGCTGCAGCACAGAGGAAGCAAAATCCTCATAGCTACAGTGCAATGTGTGGTGCTCTCTAGTCGATGAGAACAGCGTAAAGCCTACCTGCAGTGCTAGGGAGGGAGGGTTCTGGTCTTGGCAGTAGAATCCACTCCAATTATATTTATTTTCTGCATATGTGCTGTACAAGCATAACCATGTTACAAGTGAAAAGTAAGTTTGGAAGTAAGAATATTTTAAGTACAATGGTGGATGTTTTTAATCTGTGCTCGTCCCATACTATTTACTTCCACACTAGTATATTCACACTTTGAAGTTTGTCTGGAAAGTTGGAATTTTTCTGATTTGCTGACTGGCCCTTAACGTTACCGAGGTAATGATGCCCAGTGGACTGCAAACTGAGCTTCAGCTGAGAAAGAGATAGCAAAAAGAGGCCATTACTGCAGAGCTGGCATGTGATTTTTAGCTGTTGGCTTGGAAGCTGCTTTCTTAGTTATTACAGCTCATAAAGTGTCTAGTAAATTTCTTTTCGGTGTCTTAAACGAATCTTGAAACATCATGTGAGCACTTCCAATAAAGGCTGTATAAACTGTTTCCCTCTATGAATGACTGTGCCATTGAATACATACATTGCAGTAGAATGGATATGGCCCAGACTGGGCAATTTGATTCTCATGGGCAGACATCCAGTGACTTCACACAAAGCGGAAAAAGGAAACCCTAAGAAACAGCAGCCTTTTAGGCAGCTTTCATATGCTAGTAGTCCAGCCTCACTGTGTTTGGGAAGATATTCAACTGATGTGAGAACAAGATCAGCTCTTACAAAGTGTAATAATATGTTCTTTTGTAGAAGCACATTCATAGGAGACAGTGTTTTGTTTCTGTGTTTTTATCAGGGAGGCTTTATTACTAGATTTTCTTCTCTTAGTGTTAATGATCATGAGATTCCTGACAGTTACACAAAAGCATTAGCAACCATTGGCTTTCTAGGTAATAATAATGAAGCTTGTTTAACTTTTGACTCACATTTCTGTTAAATCCGTGGAGCAGAGTGCCACTACTCTTGTGTTAGGATGAACATCACTTACTTTTACTTGTTTTTCATGTTCCAGGCGGGTTGCTCATTTTCATCTTAGTCCGTCCTCAGTTAACTGAAACGTTCATGCTCACACTCTCAGTAGTTTAACAAACTCATTTCTTTTTGAATGATATGTCTAAACCAGTAAAGTTTAACGTGTGGACACAGTTCACACCAGACTTTTATTGATTTTGTTTAAATATGGTTCAAACAAGCTAAGTCATGTTTATATAAGCCCAGCAATCTGTATCCATTATTAATAAACTAGTTCATAAAATGTTTTAAAATCTGTTGTAAATTTTGAGTGCAGACAAGGGCTTATTGTTTAACAGATAAAAATTGTCCATGACTTTATTTGCTTTTAAGCCTCCAAATATACTTGTTTGCATTTAGGATGCATCTTTCACCTGTGTAAATGTGGTATCACTTCACTTTTATCACAAGTGGGCCAAGTAATATCTGTAAATCTCTGGACACTGAGGGAGAAGCAGTACAAATGGAAGTGGTGAAACAAGTCTTTTTCAGCCAGCTAACATGGAGAATTCACTTCATTCAGTAGTAATAGAATAAAGGTACTTACCTTCTAGTTTGATATTTCCTAAAGGGAGTTGCAATACGTCTTTGCTGGTTGGTAGTGTGGTTTTCATTAATACTTTACTTTTCCCCTGGTAATGGGGAAATAAAGGAAAAATGTGGACTGTATCTTTAGGGGAAGTGCAGAAGAAAGTGGCTCTGGAAGTAAAGACTGAGAAAACTAGTTGTTTAAAATGTCTCATGTCCCCTGAATATATGTCTGGGTGCTTGGCATCTCTTTGTGTTTCTCATGGAGTTAACTGGCAGCTTTTTTTCTGCTATTATCACTCAGAGAAACTTGAAAGTGAGAAGCTGAATGTGGCTGAAGTTACTCAGTCTGAAATTGCTCAGAAACAGAAGCTACAGACAGTTCTTGAAAAGATCAATGAAACCCTTAAACTCCCGCCAAGAAGCATCAAGTGGAATGTTGACTGTAAGTTGCATGTTTCCAATGCTGTTCTCATTTGTTGACAGCCAAGACGTTATTGGTGTTATCTAGAATTCTTGAATATTCTGTGTTAAGGGGAGACTAAAATCTCATATTTATGGTAGAAGATACTCTACAGTAGAGGGAGGTAAAAGGAATGGGTGAACAGATGCAGTATAATCCACTTTCTCTACTGCTGCTCAAACTCCAGTTGGAATAAACTTGTTGTCCAGTTGCCTTTTTAGGAACTATCAAAATCCAATATTTTTGCTCTTAAGCCTGTGTACATAACAGATGAAGTTTTCTATTAGTAAATCGGATGCTGAATGGAGCAAGTACCTTACTTGAATGTAAAAAGTAGGCTGAAGGAAGGGTCCAGAGGCTCCTCTTTTGAATGGCACATACATGTGAATATATATGAATCGTACTTCTGATTGCTGAGGATAAAAACAGAACCACTAATTTTGCTTACAAAAGTCTCATCAAGGTCAGGACTTCAACCATCCTGGGTTACTGTATTAACAATGAATATAGCAATGTCTACATAGAAGGGGCCTCAGGAGCACAGCAGGAGTTATCTTAGGGGAAATATGTTGCAGGCAGTAGGTTTTCAACCCTTTTAGAAAATTAGCCTTTTCAATCTGCTTCAGAATCATTTGACACTGGTGAATATTTCAACCAGAATATAATTGTTATTTCCTGTCTTGTCTACCCATCTTGACCTGGGCTGTTTTGCACCAGATGTACCATTCCCAGCAAATCTGTGACAAGGAGAGAAATAGCTCCGGGGTGGAAGAGTGAATTTTAGGCATTGCTGAGTTAACCTTTATGTGGTCCCATTGAGTTTCCTGTCCCCTTCTGTCTCCCCAATCTCCCTCCATTTTTTTTTTATATTCTCTGTTATGCAGTTGGATGTGGGGTGTTCAGAGGGGCCTGACAATTTAGCTTCTAGTTTAAATTTTATGTTTTACATGTGCTCGAGAACTAAAATTTAGCTAAAGCTAAAGAGAGAGGCAGCAGCAGCTGCAGCCAGCTGCAGTACATATCAATGCAAGGCAGGCAGACTTCTTTGTAGTGTTCTGTTAAAGCACCTCATCCCTGATCCCTGGCTCCCCAGCAAAATTTGCAAGCAATGCTGCATTTCATGGGTATAGGTAGGTGGTGGAATCTCCACTGTGTAGTTGAGACTTGGACTGGAAAAATAAAGGAAAATAATATTTTAGTGAATATTCTGCTGCTGTAGCAATGATAGAGGATAGGAACAGGAGGAGGAAAGAAAGTGCTAAAAATCAGAAAAAAGCCAGTGGTTTGATATTTGATTAAAGACTTCCCACAGAATGTTTTTTGATATCTTGTAAGTCGTGTTAGTGTTAAATACCCGTATGAATCCGTCTGTTAAAAAGCTTCAATAACAAGAACTATAACAACTTGATGGGGAATGTTTGAGTCATTGAGTTTAGTAAGTTATTGCTTAGGGCTTCTGCCAAAATAGGCTCATTTGTTATCCTGCAGACATTGTGACACTTAAAAATGAATAAGTGCATGTCATGAATACAAAAATATCTTTCTGATAGCCCATAAATCTTTATTGAAATAAACGGAATAAAGGAACAGCAAGGAGACTGCATAGACTTCAAGTTGCTGTATGTGAAATCTGGCTTTTGCATTAGGTTTAGATTTCCATCTACGCAAACCTAAGGCATTCAGACATGTTGCAAAACCTAACACTGTGGTACTGACACCCATTATTTAATGAGCTGTATTCACATGAGCTGCTGAGCAGGAGGAGACACATAAAGGAGAGGTGCCTAAAAATGCCCTCTGACAGCAAGAGGATAAAAGTACTGTAGCCCCCTGTATCCTGAAAAGTAAAAATACTTCCTCTAGTTAATTTGCATTTTGTAACCTGTGCTTTTACTATCTATTTCAGCTGTTCATGCCAAAAGTCTTGTGGCAATACTTCATCTTCTGGTTGCACTGTCACAGTATTTTCGAGCTCCAATCAGGCTCCCAGATCACGTGTCCATTCAGGTTGTTGTTGTGCAGGTAAGAGAGGTGTTAACAGTTCCTGGCAGAGTTTGTGTTTGTTCATGCGTATGTCTGTATCTTTTTGGCTCACAAGTAACACACGTGTATGCTTCAACCTGAAAAAGGCAGAAGTGCTTTCGTAGTTTGAGCTGTGGCTCAGACTATCCTACTACTAAAGAAGTGGGCAGATTAACATTAAAAATATATGAAGCATATTGTTATAACATAACAGCATTGTTGTTATTGTAATGTATTTATTTATCAGCCAGTATGATCTCTTTAATTATTATTTTTGACAATCTTCTCACTTGTGTAGAGATGCAAGTCATCCTTGGCACTGAGTGATAAATTGTCACTGCTTATTACGTTCAGATTCATGTGAGGTGACTAAATGTTCTTTCAGCCTTATGCATGCTAATTTAGATTGCAGTGTTGGCTTTCTCATAAGCATGCAAACCCCCCCCCCCTTTTTTTTTTTTTGCCAGTTTCCTTTTGCGAGTCTCATCCATGTAAGCTTTTCATGTTATTCTGTTTGTTGTTTTTCTTTCAGTTGGATTTGTTTGCTTTAGCTTGTTTGTCTTCCTCTCATTTAATTTGTTTTTCTTTCTCTCCAATGAACTCTGCCTTCATTTTTCACACTGTAACTACCTCTGATTTTATTTTTCACACTGCAGTTCTCTTTATTTTCTGTCTATTTTTGTCTTTTAACCAAAGTAGCCCTGAAGTATCTGGTGCTAAGAGCTATTACTCAGGTTGTGCATGATCGAAAAAATCCGTGAGACACATCTCAGAAACTAATCACTGCTTTTTAGTGTTCACATCAGACAAGTTTGGGAATAAGGTAATTTGCTGTGGGAGAAATTTGAAGGAGAGTCTCAGTCTCCTAGATGCTTCTCCAGAGCCTGATATCCAATTCTTTGACTCTGAAATTCTCCACATAGGATAGAGATGAGAGAGAACCCCAGCAGATCTGTACTTAACTTGTCTAGGGCTTCAGACAAAATTTATTTCCAAGCAATTTCTTTTGGATAATAGAAATACATTAATCACACACTTTTTTCCCTCAAAATTCTACCAAAATCAGCTTAAAAAGTCAAGACTGTAGCAGGGCATCTTAGGGGACAAAACAAAGGGAGAAAAAAAAAAAAGCTAAACAAAAAAAACACATTCATTAAAAAAAAAAAAAATCACATCTTGCATTCTGCTGTCTCTCCCTATGTCCAGACAAAATTCCCATTGAAGTCAATGGACATAATTCTCATTTAATAGGCTAATGTAGTTCAACAGCAAATCCACTGAAGTCAGTAAAGATAAACCAATTTAAAAACAATAAGTAGTGGGAGAATCTGGCTGACTCTTTTGCCTCTTAGCTACACAGCTGTAGCTCAAGTGCCGCTATAGTGCAGAGAAAGTGGTTGCACCAGAAGAAAATCCAAGTAATGTTGCAGAAGATTTCACCCTGCAGACCCAGATCCTTGCTGAAAGCCAATCAGGGGAACTCCATGGCTCTGCCAATTCCCATTAACTGAGCGTGGGGACCAATATTTTTACTGTAATTGTTTTTGTGACTTTTTATATTTTTATTTTATAGAGTTTTTTTTCTTTAAAAAAAAATCTGTCTTTGATATTCTGTGGGACTGTTTCTGTATTATTCATCATGTGCTCTTTGAACTCAATGAAAGGTTTAATCAGCAATCAGCAGAACCAAAAGCCTAATTTACTATTTAAGCTTGCAAGGCTGGTGTTTCAAACCCTGCCTGATAGAGTATGTACAGCAAGACCATGTCCAGGTTGTCTCAGTAGACTATGTGGTGTCTGGTTTTAAATCCTCCTGAACAGGGTTTGCTAAAGATAGAGGATGTAACAGAGGGAGAGAAAAATCAAAGCATGAAGTACAGGAGGACTACCTTAATGCATTTCAGAATTTTGTTAGGTCTAGAAACACATAAAATGTGAGAGTTGCCGTGTTGGTTGTACATGACTTATTGAGCAAAGATATTTATAAAACATATGTCATGCCCAGCAGGTAACCAACAGAATTCTTAGGAAACCTTATGTTACCTTTGGCAGTATTGTACAAAAGCAGTTAACCATGAGAATTATATGAAGTCAGGGTTGTGAGCTAAGTTGGGAAGATTTGAGATACTTGGACCTTTTGCGGTTATTTTGTTTTACAACTTTGCTTTCCTTCCATACTGACAGCTTAAATAACTTTAAACAAAGCTTGTGCTCTATTTGATAATTTCTACTGAAACCAATGAATTTTTGTGGAGAGCTTGATCTGGCCATCATTTTGCCTCTTTTATTTTTTCTTTCTTTTTTTTTTTTTTTTGGTACTGCAAAAGATGATTAAATCATAATTTCCTTATGTGCTAGAGCTGGGTTTGAGAGCACATAATAATACTTGTGCATTTGCAGAGCAGCCAGGAAGGATTTAGAATATTTTGAGCATTGGAACAGCATTTCTTGGGTGCCCTAACTGCTGTAAAGGAAAGCTAGGAAATTAAGAAATGCTTAGCAATATGCAAGGTATTTAGTAACAGGCTTGTAACAGCTGTAGAGGAACATCCCCTAAACCCCATCCCGTTGATCTAAACCCAGGACTGCATCTGCTGAAGGGGATGTGTTATCTTCTTCAAGGCAGGAAAATACAGCAGCCCTGTTCATGTGCTTCATTGCTGGGGCAGGAGCCGTCTGGTCTCTTACCTCCCTTTTTAGAGAAAAAGTTGAAAAAGTTGTTTGCATTAAGGACTTTTCCAAAAGGTTACTTCTTTCTTTTCCATGTAGAAGGCAAGTCTAAGACCAGCATAAATATATTTTTTTCATTTTCTGATAATGACAAGGAATGAAGAATCTTGAATAATTGCCTACTGTCTAGACTTTACATGCAGTTGTCAGCATTTGCCTTACTTTCCTCTCTGTATTGCAAAATTTCACAAATCCCAGTGAACAGAATTAACAGAGAGAACACAGAGAGTCAAAACATACGTGCAGAATGCACGCCACCAGCAGATGACTGTGATCTGCATGCTGGAAGCAGATGCTCCTGCTTTTTCATTATCCAGCTGACTCAAATGGTGACCATTTAAGTTGGCTCCTGCCATTTTGTGTACTACTTCTAGGCACAGGCCACTAAGCTTCACATACAAGAGGTTTCTTGTATCAAGAGGGCATTGGTGTCAATAGATATATAAGCAGCAACAGGGCTGGGGTCTGGATCAGGCTGTGAATGGATTATCTTCCTTTTTTGTTTTCCTTCACAATCGATTTAGCCCTCTATGTGGAGAGAAGTAAAAAAACAGAATGACTGAAGCAGAAAACGATGTCCATGAACAGGACAGAAGGAACAGCTAGCCAGGGGTGGGAGGAGGGCAGATTTGCCGAAGATGAAGCCTTGGCACCATCAGCCTTGCTGTTCATTGAAATACAAGACTTAGTTTGCCTCACCAAGATATACCTCTCCTAAAATACTTACATATGTGCTTAGGTGTTTCAAATGTCTTGCTGAAATGGACCCTTTGAAAGACAAGTCAGTCAAGAACAATGGAAAGAAATACTTCCTTGCACAGGTGGAGTTTCATGTTTCTTGTTATTAAACAGTAGGGCCTTCTGAAATGTTTGCAAGGTGAAAAAGTATATTACAGTACATTTGAAAATGTTATTTTTCAGGTTTCTTAACAGATTAAATGTGTAGATTACAATTTTTACCATACTCAAAGCATTGAAATTTACTGAGAAATATGTCGCTTTTTATTTTTTCCAGAAACGAGAAGGAATCCTCCAGTCTCGACAAATCCAAGAGGAAATAACTGGTAACACTGAGTATGTCAACACCACTCTTGCCAGCAGTTCAGTAATTGAACACAGATGCATCTCAAAAATTCAACCATTTGCTGATATTTAGGTTTTGGTATTGGGGTTCCAGGAAAGATGATGCATCAGCCAGTGATTATATTTTAGCCTTTGCAGAAGCTGCAAACATGCTTCTAAAAATAAAAAATAAAAAAAAAAAGCATTGTGAAATGCAGAGCTGAGAAACTAAAAGCAGGAGATGAGCAGGATAAATGAGAAGACATGAAAAACATAGAAAATTTCTGCATGTAAAGGAATTTATTTTGCAACATTTCAAGTAACATAAACACAATACTGTATTCAGTAGTCCTTTAAACAAACCAGAACGATGTGTCTTATTCTTTTATGTTGAAATTTATTTGATAACAACTAGATTATTTCAGAAAGGAATATAATACAATTAATATTTTGCTAGGCATTTGGATTTTGGAGATGGAAAGTGACAGTAGTAAGTCTTGTGCATACCATCTAACTGGGCAATTTATAAAGGAAAAGTTATTTCAAAGCCAACAGAAAGCAAAAGTGGAATATTCTAGTTTTTAATGGAGAGAGTTCAGATGATTGACTTATTAATCTTTATGGATTTACTTATATGTACTGCAGTTCTTCAGAACTTAGTCCAGGCATTGCTTTGACTGGAATTGTTTTGCAGTTGATGTGGAAACTGCAAATGGAAAAAGTTTTCATAAAATAAACATGAAAGAGGCCTTTTTACACAGGCAAGGTGTGTTGATTTGGTTCAATAGTAGGAAATCTGAGATCTGGTCTCACCATGAGACTTTAGTGAAGCCAAGAGATATTATGCTGACTGAGTCAAGATTAATTCAAATTCAGTTAGAATAACTTGATGAATGTTCTCTTAATTCCATGGGTCTAGTCCAGTTTTCACCAAGCCAAAGATCTGGCCACATATGCTGTTTTCTTTAGCAGCACAATATATTTAAGTGAATTATATGTAATTGTTTTTCCTTTTTCTTTTTTCTTTTCTTTTTTCTTTTCTTTTTTCTTTTCATAGGGCATTATCAGGAAGGCATGGTAAGTTCATTTGCTTATTATCTTTTTCTTCAGGCAGCCAAAGTATGCATTAGTTCTTGTACAGATAGACACTTTGATCACACTGCGGAGAGGAAGGAGATGATTTTTGTTTTCCCTGGCATATACATGAATGCAGTGCATGTGTTTATATAAAAAAAGTATATGTAAAAATATAAATGCACACACACGTATAAAACATATCTATAGCAGACTTTTATGGTACTTAACAAAAGGAGAAAAGCATCAAATCAGTCTTTGCATCTCTAAAACGTTTTTCAGTGCTTTTCAGCATGTCTTAAGTTTACAACTTTGTTTTGTTGTTTTACCTCCAGAAAATTATTGTAATAGTACTGATGGTCACCAGTTCCCTGTATAATACAAAATCATGTCTTATGATAAATCAGCTGGTAAAGTTGTTGCCTTTCTTGCATACACTGCCTGCTTACACCATATTGAGTTTGGGTCATTTTTAAACAGTTCCAGTTTCAGTGCAAGTTTTCATGGCTAATATTGCTTATTGTCCAATACTGAGCCAGGCTAAATGCCTGGCCAACAGAAAACACTGGCCTGAGAAGCTGAGGCAGAATCCCACCAAGAAATGAGCATTTGCTAATAATTTCATTGTAATAGTTGTCCTGAGCAAACTCTTGCTTTGTGTAACACGTCTTCTACAAGTGCAATTGAATCTACTTCAGCAAATTTTATTGACGAATGTGACTTTTTGTGCAGTCATTCTGTATCACTCAGGAGACTCTGTATTACTCTGAGCAATTTTCAAATCTCTGAAAAGACTCAAGCTTTTTTTTTTTTTTTTTTTCCTTCTCTCTAGAAGATGGTACTACTGTAGTGGTCCTACCACTGCCAGTTACAGTATGGCTAACCATAAATGCAGTCAGCTCATCATAACATGCATACTGTAGCCCACAGGGAAAATTTTCTTAGATGTAAATTCATGTTCTACTGCAGAAAAATGATTTGGCTACTTAGTTCCCTGTATCTGACTGTTTAAAGTTTTATGTACAAAGATACTTGTATTTGTTATTTTTTTGAGAAGTGGAGTTAATAGTTATTCTGAATCCTACTGCAAAACGATGCTTTCTGCAAATAATAGAGAATAATAACAGCTTATGGCAAGACAGAAATGTGCAAAATATATAGTACTTGGAAAACAAAGAATATCCTGAAACCTTTTGCTGACTCTGTCTTCAACAATTGTGGTTTTTAATAAGTGTTTATTATGCAGTCAGACAACTGCTGCTCAGCATTTTAACATCTCCAAATGTTTTTTCAGAACGAGATGCATTTGACACTTTATTTGATCATGCTCCAGACAAGCTCAATGTTGTGAAAAAGGTTAGAAGGACTATATTTCTCAAGTATGTCGTATGTGCATGTCCATTCTTTGTGTGAGCATATTTATGTGTGTATATATATATGTAGTATATGAAGAATACATGCAGAATACAATTATAGTTTGCATACATTAAATACGATTATGCTTTAGACTGAAAATGAAAAATAGCTTATCCATGATTATAATGTTATTTTTTTATGGTTAGCAGCATGAACTTAACTTTAGAACACAGAACAAGATGTAGTTGTCAAAATTTCCATCATATAAATATTCTCATATGGTGTATGCTGAAAAGAACTGGGCTGGTAGATTTGGTTTATTGCTATCAAAGATGTATCCAGTTGACAACTGCTAAGGGTCTGACCTTGAGTATTTTGGCTGCTGTCGGATTTGAGTGGAGTCCCGTTATCTAGTTCTCTATAGTCTGCTACTAGTTTTTTTTTTAAGAATTATTGTTTTTGACAATATGTTTTTTTTATTTGCATTGTGCTTTTTATATTTCTGCTCTTCCTTCTAAAAAAAAAAAAAGTTTTTTTTTTAATATCACATTCCAGTTTTAAAAATTGTATTGCAGCCTCTTTGTTTGTGCAGGTTCTCCTCTGACTGGAGTTCATACTATATGGACTAACTTGTTCTCATGTTTCAGACTCTCATCACATTTGTGAACAAGCATCTCAACAAACTGAATTTGGAGGTCACTGAACTGGAGACGCAGGTAGAGTTTTATAGCCTTTCCTAAATGGGAGGAATAGTTGTACTGTGTTAAACACTATTGCCCCACATTTATCCAGAAATATAATGGAATTAGTACCAATGATCAGTTAGGTTGGTTAGGTTGTTATTTCAGCTGAAAACCCTTCAATTCTAAATAGACTCATAAAAAAAAACTTCACCTATTAAGCAGAGATATTATAAAGACAATTGCATTTCTCTAGAAGAGTTTTATGCTTTCACTGACATAAGTAACTGATACTAATTCTGGCATAATTAACTGATGCTAATTCTTTATACTGCTCTAAGAAGACCTTGTGCCAGTCTTGGTCAGGAAAGAACTGTGCACTTGGTTAGGTCCAGCTTCAAGTTAAATAGTTATTTCCTGCTTACCTTTACAGAAACAAGTATTCTCATGGGATTCCGATGAATTTTCAGTGAGACAGGTTCATGCGGCTAAAGCTACTCAAGTGTATAGGTAGCTGTGCAGCTAGGCTGCTGGCTTTATTACACCTCAAAAATAATTTGATACATGGGCTTTTTTTTGTGTACTTGGTTGCTAAATTGGCTGGAAAGAAGCTGACAGAAATAACTTATGCCCTGCTGTATTAGAACATCCCCATGTGAACAAATGCAGCAGGTATAAGAAAATTACAAGATCAGACAATAAGGGTGGTATCTGTACCCCAGGTGCAAGAAATACGTGGGTGGTATTATTTATCAAAATAAGAAAAAAAAATGTCTTCAAGACAGGCTTTATTCTATGTCTTTCTCAGTGTACTGAGACACTTGATGCCATAGTAATGAGACTGAGACACTCTTTACAAAATATCCATGGATGTTGCTGTTTTTCAGATTGAACTGTGTATGCATTATAGCAATTAGCTATCTTCCATTTATAATTGCATATACTGAAATTTAGATTGACATAGACTTGTGGAACATGGAAGAACATAGTTCCTTGTTTCCTTGTTTCTTTCAACATGCTGAATTGCAGTGCATGCAGTGCAGTTGCACCTTCATTCTGCTTTTCTCACCTCTGGGAATGAAAGCTGTTTGATGGCTGGAAGGGTGGCTGTTCTGATTCCCCACAACTAAGTAAATAGAATATAAATGAAAGCAAGGGTGCTTTCAGACCACCTGTCTTTCCAGGAACTTTATTCTGCGTGTGTGTTTTAGCATGAGGTCAGTTTTGGTCAGGGCACAACACAATATACTAACTAAATAAAATGTATGCATGCAGTTTAAAATATGATAGCTTGTTGACTGTTTTGCATTAGACAATATATATTTTGCTCATTAAGCAAAGCAATGAGATGTTCGTTCAGGCAGTGTACTGAGAAATGTCTTTTTTACAGTTTGCAGATGGTGTATACTTAGTCCTGCTGATGGGTCTCCTTGAGGGCTATTTTGTTCCTCTGCACAGCTTTTTCTTGACTCCTGATAGTTTTGAACAAAAGGTAATTGGATTTCATTTTTCTCTTGAAAACAAATAAACAAACAAACATGTCCAGCAGTACCACCTTCACCACTCAAGAAAAAAGGTGAAAATCCACAATGGACTGTCTGGATTCCATGGACCAGATATTCCCTTTGTAGAGAGAGTTCTATTTGCTTTCTCCTTCCAAGTTTCTGGGTTTAACCACAGCTTGTTCTGACAGCTTACACTGTATTGTATATGCTTGATAATGACTACCTTCATTATATTACTAGGTCCTTAATGTATCATTTGCCTTTGAGCTAATGCAAGATGGTGGATTGGAAAAACCAAAGCCAAGACCAGAAGGTATATATTTCACTTCTTTTTCTATCTCCTTAACCTTTAGGGAGGATCCAGATCTAGGCAGAATAAAATGAAGGTTAAAGGGCAATCCAACAGGGAAAGACAAGATACATTTTGAAGTGCTCAGATACTCTGTGTTTTAGAAAGTTGATAGGTGCCTTCAAATGTTGTGAGACTTCCCGACTTGCATAGCCAGGGAAGGATTTGTTTGACTAAACACTGGTTACAGGACACTGATTCACCTTGCTTTGTGTGGGACACTCTTGTCATTCCTCTCACAAGAAGTTAGGACTTCTCACCATACAGAAACTGGACTTCCCAACAGGATTAGTAGCTGGGCTTTGCCTGATTACTCACCGTAATAATCAATGTATTTGAGTTTTCAAGACCCATTGCAGAATCACCTTCCGCCATGCACACAGGACTTTCCAACCATAATACTGACTTGATTGTCAGTCTCAGAGGACTTGGAAGAAATATGCTATCAATATTAAGCTAATGTTCAGTTTTACTCCTAATCCTCTGAATTAGCCTCTCTGGAGATTCAGACTCACATCTTTGAATCAGGTTTTGCACTGTTCTGTCCCTTTTCCATCCCTCCGATCTTCCAATTCATAACAGCAACAGACACACTTTAAAACCAAACAAAACAAAAACAAGAAACCCAAGCCTGGTGGGACCACATGTCGCAGAACTGAACCTATGCTGCCTGTGTCTTTAAGCTGGATTTACCCAGCCTCTTTTTTCACTTCTTTTGATGACTTGAGCTCTTATCCACAACCCTGTTTTAACTATGTCAGTGGTGTTTCTGTCACTAACTTTTGTGTTTGAAATAGTCAAAGAGAGAACAGGGAAATAGTGAAATCTAAGGATCCAAGTAAAACAGAGAATATCTGTGATCTCTTACTCCCCATGGAGGTTTAAAATTCTTATGGCATTTAATTTTTCAGGTATTTATTGCTCTAGGGGACAGATAATTTTTCCAATATAAATCAAGCCATAAGGATATTTCAGCGTATATAAGTCATTTCTTGTGCAATTATTGAAATGCTTAATATGAAACTTCCTGTTCAATGTGAATGGAAAAACACATCTGGTTTATGTGTTGTTACATTGGGCACAATGCCCATACTTAAAATTTCCAATAAGCAAAAGAGTATTGAAAAGGATCTTACTCTAAATGTGTATGTTAAGTACTCTGTAAATTCCTATGCTGTTTCTCTGACGTTCTGGAGGAAAAAAACACTGAAAAGTGCTTCAGAATATGAAAAACATATTTAGTGCAAAAAAGAATGTGGTTAAATGAGTATGAAAACTAATGGTTTTTATGAGTTCAACAGTTTATTTGGATTATTCACAATATAATTGAAAGTGTTTTAAAAAGCTTTCTATGACCTTTTACTTTAAAAGTGGTCAGAACATTAATCTACTGAGTCTATAATGAATTCATTTGCAGTTTGAGCTCTTCCAAATAACTTCTTGAAACATGTACATCAAAACCAAACCTAAGTTTCTCTTTTTCAAAATTGCAACTAGTAAAACTTTATACATGTTAGTTGAACACAATATAGCAATAGAAATGTCTCTTCTTTCTTTGGAATTGCACCTCTTTTTAGTGTAGTCCTTTCTTTCTGTTTTCATAGTGGGATCTCATGGTAACCTTGCAAAGACTGTCAAATTTGTCTATTAGGAAATGAGGGAGATGTGTGAGTTGCTACTGACAAGAAAGAAGAAACTGGCTTAGACTTGTAAAAACAGTATTGCAAGGTATAGGAAAATGGTGTGGGGCAATATGCCCTTCCTGTAGCTTTCACACTTAGACACAGTAAAATAAGACCTTAGTGTAGATAAATATAATGGCAAAACTACATGGTAATTATACAGTTTACTAGGTTTACTTGCAAGCTCTGAAGATAAGAGAGATAAGAGTACTTACACACCATCTGCTTTATACCTTCATGCTCAATTCCAAAGACCAAAATATGAGATTAAGATACACGGTCAAGAGAGATGGTGCTTTTCTGATGGGCAATGCAAAGCCCCAGCTTGAGATGGTGTGAATATCCCTTGACGCACTAACATATACTCCTGCAATAGTTAATGTCAATTTGTTTTATAGATTTCTTGTAAAATAATATTGACTTTCTCTACAACTTCTCTTGGAAACAGCAAGTATTTGTTAGCGTTTTCTTTCACAGAAATTCTTTACTTTAGATATTGAGTGTCAAAGGACTGAATCAGCCATGTACATCAGCTAACCAAAATAATTTTCAGAAATATCTTCTGGGCCACCTGCACATCTTTAGATCTTCTAGAAAAGCTAGCCTTGCCTTTGCAAATATCTTGCTGAAATTAGGCCTAAAAAAGGAAGTTGTAGCCCAGAATGATCCATGCCCTGCAGTTCTTACATAAAATAATTTCACTAGTTGCTGCCAGCTGATTTTTCAAAACCATTAGTTTTCAGCCACAATCACCTGAAGATTCAGTTTTGTAAATACACATGACCCTATGAACAATCTGTCTCCTGTAGGTTACATTTGTACTTCAGTACCAACAGAGATTTGTGTCCTTAACTACCAGTAGTTGAAAAACATCTGGTTGAGTTGGTTGAGTTTAAAAACTGTCCCCTATATTTCTACTCTTTATTACCATCTTTGTGGTTGTAATGCTTATGAATATGCATCTGAGCAATGAAAGGGAGAGAAAAGTGGACACTTTATCTGCAAATGTATTGGGCCTATGGAGTTACTAATAGGTTTTTCCCTGTGTTTTTTTTTTTTCCCCCCTAGATATTGTAAATTGTGATTTGAAGTCTACACTGAGAGTACTGTACAATTTGTTCACTAAGTACAGGAATGTGGAGTGAAGAATTGATTTGGAACAGCGAAGGAGAGTTAACAAAGAAAACATCATCACTAGCACATTTTTCATCGGTATTCCTGTGCGTCTTTAACCTGAAAGGAACTAAATCATTTATCTGAAGAATTTTTAATTGATTATTCTTGCACGAGTATTTTCATAGTAGATTTACAACTAAGGCTGTGTAAAACTGATCTAAAATATAAAGAAAGATGTTTAGAGGAATCTATCTGGGTATTTTTGGCAAGAATCCATGTCTCAATAATCTCTCAGTCTTCATGCTGTTCTGCAATAGGTGAAAAGCAATCAAAAAGATTTAATTCATATTAGGCTTTGAAATCAATAATAGGAAATTTCTGTTTTGAATATCTATCTGTTTTGAATATCTATTTTATTATTTTACCTATATTTTTTCTAATCTGGGGAGGGGAAAAGTATTCTCTATCCACAGTAAGATGGTTGCATTCTATTTGTGAGAAATATGCACAAGCAGAAACAGTTCAATACTCTTGTTCACATCACAGCTAATAAGAAAAGACTTTCTCAAGCACTTAACCTGATTAATTTGGATTTCCAGTGCTGTTGGGCTTGAATTTTATGGATACAAACTGAAGTGACTACTTATTCCTTCAGAGTTGCTATTACGTGATGCTCTGCTTTAGATATATATTTTTGAGCATTCACCATAAGCACACTTTTAAGATTGCTCACTTGATTTGGTCCAATGAAGAGATCTTTTCTGCAAAGTCCACATTTCAAAAAGAAAAACTGTATAATGCAGTTCCCTGTTTGTATTATTGGCATAGTATTAAGAAAGCAAGAGAATAGCCTCTTTCACTATTAGTAGCTGATTGTCAGGTTGTAAGCTTAGATTCGTTACTAAATGGGATTTAGAATCTGTCACTTTGGTTGATTTTATGATGAATGTATATTTCTGTGTAAATATCCAACACCACAAAAAAAAAAAAAAAAGAGAGAGAGAGATTTTTCATAAAAATTCCCTTAGCATTTCATATGCAAAAACACTGCTTTTAGGTCAAAGCTACTCCCATCTGTAAAGGCTTGATTAAAGGTTAAGCTTCTTTGATCATTTTATGTGACTATGAGGAGTACTTTTGTTCTTATCTTGACCAAGTATAAGCTGCGATCTTTTTGGTTTCAGTTTTAAACAAAGCCACACAACAGAACTGGGAATGGATTCCTCTGTCAGACAAATATCAAGCACCAGTCTGTTTCCGTAAAGAAGCCTGATAGAGGCTGTCTGGCGTGAGTGTAAATCATCGGACACTACACTGGCATAAGTTGAGGAGTAAGTTAATCATTTGCTAGAGGTCTTGATGCTACTATTAGATAGCTTTCTAAAAGAAGTTTTTATTCCAACCACAGATTCTTGGGCTCTTGAGTTACACAGTAAGGGAAAAAGTCCTTAGGCAGAAATTATGGGACTATTTAGAAATCTTTGGGCTGTTTAGTGCAGGAAGGAGAATTTTGAATAGTCATCTGATTATGATTGAACTGGTATAGATGAAAGAGAAAGCAATCTGTCAACTATTGACCTTGCTATAAATTTTTTTTTCAAATTTTTGGGATTTTTATTTTAGTTGTAAATTTTTAATGTATAAATTTCTAGTAAAACTCTAGTACAGAGTGAAGGCAAGTAATTACATTCTGTCTTTGATGAACACTAACTGATGTTAAATAAGTTGATACTGGCTTCTGCTGGGGGGGAGCTATAGTAATTATTGTACTGAGAAGTAAATATCAGCTTTTGCAAAAGAAAGGTCAATATTAATTCAAAAGACAATAAACCTGGACGTCCACTGAATCCAGAGATCAATATCTGTATCATTATATCTGTTCTAAATATCTTCATTAAAATGCTGGATTCCTCTATTTTTTTTTAACTGAACTTCTCAAGTTAGAGGTGCAGAAAAGAACAAATACTTGCCTTAGCTAAATCACTAGGCATTTTGATCTCAATGAAAATAAGCATATGTTTTCACTAACCTATTATATCATTGATCTTTTGGAGAAGCTAAACATTAGGAATTTACCAAGCATTTTTTAAGCAAATTGTGAGATGAAACATCTTGTGTATATCCTGGCTGCAATATCACATTGTTCTAACATTTCACTTTTAAGTTGTTCATTTGCAAACCTAGGCTGCAGTAGTTGTAATAGTTAATTAACAAATGTGTGATAATTTTTCTGCAGATCATACTCAGCTGAAATACTTTTTCACATCTCATCAGCAGTGCCAAGACATTTTGAATGTCCTTTTCAGGAGTGCACTTTCCTTAAAGAGAGTTATTCAGGTAAAGGAAAACAGTTAGGAACAGTGAGACTGGGTTTTTGTTTGGGCCTGAAAATACATAATCCTGTGGTCTACGGGTGTGACATTTCTGGAGATCACGAAGCCTGTTAGACTCCACTTTCCATCTTTAAAAAACATAAAGCTGATACAGAAAGGGGAGATACTTGTGCTAAACTGCAGTTTTGCAGAACAGCAAAATGCAAATCTTAAAAACAAACAAACAAAAAGACTGTCCTATGGTAGGAATTCATGTAAATTAAAATGTGTTATAAAAACAAGAGCATCATATCTAAATGTAAACCCATGTGATACTTTTAACACATGCACACAAACAGTAGTATATGCTGCCATGTAGGAGTGGATCACTGCTTATATTTTTGACAGTACAGATTTAACAAGCTATCAGATAAATACAAAAAACTAATATACAGATTATATCTAATATTTATTGCTTTGGTATAGAATATTATAGAAATATAGACTACTACTATAGAAAGTTTGCTCTTCAACATTCAGTGTAGGCCAGCAGCTTCCTTCAGGGAAGTGAAATGTTATCTTAGCTGGGGCAAATTCTGCTGACACCTAGGATGCTTTTATTATATGCACAGCAGTGTATATGAATGTATGGCTGAATGCAGAATTTGCCTCACTGTTTCTATTAGGGTAGAAGTTGTTTATGTTTCAGGTCAATCTTGGTCTTATTTATATTACTATGAATAATATCAAAATCAATGCATTTAGCCCACAAAATAAGATCTGAACAGTACCTGGAGAGGCCTGTTCCTTCTCTGACTACAGAGGCAGCCTCTGGTCTTGAGACTGCTCTCTTTGTGCTTTGCCTTGGTTCCTAAGGTCAGATGGCATGAGTCCAGGCCACTGCCTTAACATCTCATGATGATCTCTGGGTATGACCCACTGAACCAATGTGTTCCTATGGGGTGTTCTGTCTCCTGGAGGCCCACAGGTTTCTGAGCCCACAGAAGCCTGTTAGAGGCTTGGCATGAAAGTCAAAAGGACAAAAAACGTTTCCACCATCAGGGCACTATGAAACTGACAAACAAACAGGGTGTTCTCTGCTTCTGTGACTTCCATTTGCTGTAGCAGCTGTGGGGTATCAAACTCTGGTGGAGACAGGCCTCTTCTGTCTGCTGACAAAACCCAGGAGATTCAGACACATGATTTTTTTTTTTTTTCAAAGGAGAGCTACAGATTTTTGTAATATGTCCAACAGAGATTGTCAAAATAGTTATCTAAAATCTTAGTAACCTCAGGTCAGCTCCTTTCAAATTTCTTTCCCAGCTCACTAGCATTAAGTCACTTTAAATAACAGGAAAAGATGTCAAAGGAATCCTTGCATCGTTTCACCTGACACCCACACATCAAGCACATAACTGTTTTGCTCTATAGTTCAGGGAGAGTTAGGGACTCGGTGTGTCTGTTACTGAAGTGGATGAGCACAGAATACCTTGTTTGAGCTATTTCAGGGTCTGTAGATATCTCCCTGTTATAGGGGAAACAGCAGCCCTTGCAGCCCCAAAGTTCAGACACTTGAATGGACCAGCGCATGCTGGATAAGATCCTAATCTACTTCTGTTGACTCTGGACCAAGTTGCTTGTTGGCATATTTCCATATAAATCAATGGCATGTCATCAACAGAGCATTTGGTCCCTTCTCTTTTACAGAGGCTTACGTTATTTGTGTATGGTTTACATTCAAGCAAACTACACAACTGAGAGAAATACTACTTGATTGACCTTTGTTTATACTCATTTTCAAAAAATATGTTTTTAAAATTGTATTTCTGACTAGTTTAGCAAACACCTTTTGCCAAAACACAAAGCTGTAAACGAGAATGGCTTCTAAAACTGGTATTTTTTTTCATTAGAAAGATATATATTATATTTAATATACTACATATTAGCTTTAGGTTTACTTTTTTTATTCTTGTTCTATCAAACCAGTCTTCATGCATTGCCTGTGTGTTTGACAAGAACTCAAAGAAGAACAGTGCCTTTGAAAACTTCTGCAAGATTTTCTTCACAGTACTTTTGTTATTTTACTATGAGTATTAGTGTGGGTTTTCTCTTTACAGATAATGTACACTTAAAGGCAGAAGAAATCCTTTTTAGAAGCTTAAAAAATATTATTTTAAACTAGTTTTAAATATCACATGAAAAATAGTCCGTTACAAGTAGACAATGTCACCAAAATTAAACATACCTCAGTATCTGCAGATTTTTTAAAGAGATTTTGATTCATTAAACATTTACTAGGGCTAAACTTTTGTATTTTGATGATACAATCTTTGTGTCTATTTCTATTTATAAATTAAGAGGTTTTTTTCTGTATTATATTACACATTGAAACACTTTTAGTATCATTTAAATATTTGATTATAAATTTTAAGATCAAATTCATTAAAAAAACACACAATAAAGATTTGCAAAATTTGCTTAAAGTATGTATCTCAAAATACGGTTTAGTCAAAGTTAAGCTGCCTTGCCTTTAGCTGCAGAGTTAATAGCTTTCAAAGGCTACATTTTATGTACTGTGTAAATAAGTGATACTCCATTACTGATTTTGTTGCTTGTGCTTTTTCCTGAAGCTTTTGTTATGATCCACAATAAAATTTGCACCTGAAAATCAGCATTGTATGTTTTTGTTGGACCAAATTATGATATGTTTGAGAAAAACTAATAAGGCTGTATGATTTTATGATCTTGGAACTTCTAGACTCTCTCTGCATCTAACCCACTCTGTTACCTCCTTGTGGGTGTACTCCGTGTTTGTTATTTTTTTCTGTGGGGGCTGGTGACAGCTGGAAGTGGGTTAGCAAAAACAGCCATGTAAACATACACTTGAAATGATTAACAGCAGTGGGTTAGGAAAGTGCTGTACCTAACTAAAAATGGCAAAGTTTACCTTCACTTTAGT